TAATAAATAATAAATAAATGTGTGTGTGTGTGTGTGTGTGTGTGTGTGTCTGTTTCATAACGTTCTATCACCTAATTTTGGAGGTGGAAATATTCTGCATTTAATGGTGATTTTGTGTTCTGTTTCTTTGATATTACAGCCTTACAGACAATAATAGAGAAGATGGGGAAACCATTACTTCTCCTTTTTGCTTTTTTAGCTTCTTGTGAGTATCTGAGAATTAGTCAGTGTCCATTTTATCTAGGCCTATCAAAAAGTTGTGGCTTGTTACACTGCATTAGGTCAAAGTCCAAATCCAATAATGATACACTCTGTGGACAGAAGCCAGTGTAATTAAGTTTTACTGTCACTTACAGAGGAGAATTCACAAATTTAGTTCTTTTAAATAAGATTTTTTTTTCTTAGAATTGCTGTATTATGATTCATATGCTGGTTCATGTTTGTGTTTTCTGCAGCATACTGTAATTCTATCCCTGTGATTAACATGGCTGTGGTAAATGTGAGAGAAGATCGTCCAGTAAGTAGGTCTGTACATTTTAGTCTCTACTATATGCTCAATCCCATTTTGCATTTTTGTATGCATGTAACATTTTTCCTAATTATGTATTTCCCTGGCAGGTGTACTTGCGTTTCAAATTGAAGCATTTGATCCAGATGGTGACCCTCTAACATATGGTATCGCTGGAACAGACTCTAGTCATTTTGACGTTGACAAAGAGACTGGTGAAGTCAGAATCAAGAGTATGCTGGACAGAGAGGTATTTGTTAGGACTTTAAAAGTCTGCTCTCTATTCCTGAATTGAGGTGAAGGGACAAAAGTTGGGAATTGTGAATTTTAAATCATTTCCACAACAATTTTTATTAAAATTACTCTTTATAAAAGACAACCGGTTAACTTTGTGTATGTTTATGTTTTCTTTTTTTCAGACAAAAGACCTCTTACTCATAGAGGTTGTGGTGAATGATGGCGTTTATGCAGATGTAAGTTGGACCTACTGGAAGTATCACAATGCTCAGAAAATTAAATTTCCTGAGTCCCAACATGTCTTTCTGCCCTTTTAGGTGACAAAATCAGTTTATGTTGCTGTTTTAGATGCTAATGATAATGCACCAGTATTCCAAAATCTGCCCTACAATGAAGAGGTTCCAGAGGTGAGTGAGCCTGTTATCCTTTGTGTGTATTATGGATGTAAATATGGATGCTGTAACTGCTCAACACCTTACAGTTCTTACATTGAAGGAATAATTCACCTAAACCTGACAATTGTGTCATGTACTCATCTCCTATGTTTCAGAACAGGGCCGTGGCTAGGGTTCAAAATTTTGTTGTGAAAGCGAAACTACTTTGTTTGGTCTTCCAAAAGAGGAAGTCGTCTTCCACGACTACAAATCAGTGGTTAAGTTGTATTTACATTTCTCTGATCACAAATGCAGACAGAGTTTTATGTTTACGCGGCGCGATGCAATGCAACGCAACGCGTAAAAACACAGTATAAGTCATTATAATCAGTAATTATGTCCCCACTGGATGCAACAAATGCCT